AGGATGAGCATTGTTTATCTATAGCATGTCCCATGACTTTTAATCATGTTTCATTTCATTTGTTAGATGACTGAGTAACTACTAAGTGGGAGAGCTAATGTTTGAGCCTGGGCTTACAGAGAAGGAGAAATATGATTTGTCAAAAAGTGGTGAGCAAAGTGCTAGTTCCTTCAGTTAAAATAAGTGAACTGACAGCCAAGCATGGTGGCTCATGCCTGTAATCCCAAGACTTTGGGAGGCAAGATGGGTGGATCACCTGAGGTCAGGAGTTCAAGACCAGCCTGGCCAACCTGGTGAAACCCCATCTCTACTAAAAATACAAAAATTAGCTGGGCATGGTGGTGGGTGCCTGTAATCCTAGCTATTTGGGAGGCTGAGTCAGGAGAATCACTTCAACTCAGGAGGTGGAGGTTGCAGTGAGCCGAGATCACGCCATTGCTCTCCAGCCTGGGTGACAGAGCAAGATTCCATCCCCCCCAAAAAAGAAAAAAGGGTGAACTGCAAAATGCAGGGTTGGAGTCAAGGTCCATAGTAACCTTTGTTACCATATAAAGATGTGTGCCCACCGTTTCCTTGTTTTCTTTTAAGTAAAGCCAATTATCAATATTTTATGTGAACTTATCTCTATTTTAAAATGTTGTTTTTACATGTGTTTGTATATGCATATTTATGTTTATAAAACAAAATCATGTGCTTGCCAGCACTCTGATACAAAATGAGCATTAGGTAGAATTTTGCTATGAGACCAATGGTTTGTAACCTCTGTGTTAAGTCATCTCCAAAGTCTAAGCCCTAAGATATTATGATTTGTGATGATGCTTGATAAGGTATGACTTACTGATTTGCTTTCCTATCATACCTTAAAGAAATTTTCCTGACTATTTATGTGGAATGCTATTAATAACAAAGGCTTCTCTAAGTATTAACACACTTATAACTTTGTTGGAAGTGACAGATAAAGAGTGAAATGCTCTTTCCTGACCACCGTGGGCCTGGTGCTGCCCTCTTCTGAGCCTTCTTGTCCAACTGCTGTCTTTCAGTAATTTTCTACCATAAGATTCTGTTTTCTTCTTCTTTTCTTAATCTGATATTGCCAAACATTGAAAATATTATGTCTTTGTATTTATTACAAAAAAGTCCACTGAAATAAAATAATTTGAAAGACCTTTATAAACAGATTTTTATCTTTAGATCTCTATAGAACAAATACCTGTTTGTATAGGAACAGCTTTCTTTGAATAACATTATTGACTGAGGGAGAAAGGGTTGTAAGGGGAAAATTTTGTTTTTAAAATTTAAAAAAATTTTTGAATTGACAAATAAAAATTTATATATTTATGGTGAATAATGTGATGTTTTAATATGTGGATGCATTGTGGAATGGCTAACTCAAGGTAGTTAACATATATATTACCTCACATACTTTATATTGTGTTGAGAACACTTAAAGTCTACTCTCTTAACAATTTTCAAATATACAATATATTGTTACTGGATTAACTGTAGTCACCATAATATACAATAGATCTCTTAAACTTATTACTCCTGTGTAGCTGAAATTTTGTATTCTATAATAGTCTGTTTTCTGTATTTGTGGGTGTGGATCTCTTTAGGAACAAAAATCTACTTCCATGTATAATTTCAACTCAGTGTGAAGCCACACACAATCAGTGCCTTTTTTTTTTTTTTTTTGAGACAGAGTTTTAGCTCTTGTTGCCCAGGCTGGAGTACAATGGTGTGATCTTGGCTCACTGCAACCCCCACCTACTGGGTTCAAGTGACTCTCCTGCCTCAGCCTCCTGAGTAGCTGGGATTACAGGCATGCACCACCACACCTGGCTAATTTTGTATACTTAGTAGAGACAGTTTTCTGCATGTTGGTCAGGTTGGTCTCGAACTGCCAACCTCAGGACCTCAGGTAATCTGCCCGCCTCAGCCTCCCAAAGTGCTGGAATTACAGGCATGAATCACTATGCCTGGCCACAATCAGTATCTTTTTACTAACACGTACAGTAACATTACTGGATCTTGAAACTAATTCAGTGCATTCTAACTAGTATTAACATGAGAGAGAAGAAAGAAAATCCCTGTATGCATTGCAGGTGCTAAGGGTAAGAAAAATTTTGTAGAACTTTTGTTTCAGGGGTGTGTGTGTGTGTGTGTGTGTCTGTGTAAATTCTACTTTGCATCACAGAATGTTTTTCTCACTGGGATGGCAGTTAACACATTTCAAAAGCTTCTGAACTAGGATTACTAAGTAGATCCTTGGTTATTCCTGTCCAGTTAAAAGAGTTTAAATTTTAAACTTAGAAATGTGAAAGGATTTTCATCATATGTTCAGTACCACCAAGCCTTGGCTTTTCTCTTCAGTCCCTTCAAAGCATTTCTCTATCTAGTTTAAATCTGTCCTCTGATCCAAGGATCACTTTTGAAGAGAATAACAGTGCTTAAAAAGAGAGAGTTCTTACAAAAACGACAAGTTGCCCAGCCTTGGAGAGTAGGAGAGAGACTCTTGTAGGCTCCAGGAGGGGGCCATGGAAGGCAGTGAGCCAGCCCCAATTCTGTCTTCACTGAAATTCCTTGAAAATGAAAAAAGAGGAAGTAGGGGAAAAGGCAACATGGGAGTAAGTAGAGGAGCTAATGTACATTTAAAGATATTAAAAAAGCACAAAGAGAAGGAGACCTACAAATACTTTAGCAATGAAATGTTTTTCAGTCATTATGGGCTTGTTTCTTTGGAAGTGCATGACTTGGGGGAAAACGTGGTTCTTGTCTGGGTTGTGGAATAAAAAGCTGATTGTTTCTGTGATCCAGTAAGTATATTTGTCAGCCTGAGGTTATCAGTGAGACACACCACGAACCAATAGAATTTCCCGCCTCCTATATTCGTTTCATATTTCTTTGGTTATGCCTGTTTGGACTGTCAAGAAATTGTATTTCAAAATTTTAAAAGGGAAGTGAGATTGGGATTGTTTATGAGCTTGTAGACACTAGAAGGATAAACATTCTTATGTCTCAGTAAGAATTTAATGGCAAGTGAATACTTTTCTTTTAAGGTTTCCAGAAGCAAATCAAATTGTGCTGATTTCAACTTTTTTAAAACTATCACATTTGTCATAATGGTCACCTAATGTGCATCATGTGAAACTAATGAAAAGCACTTAGTCTTTATGTTCATTATTTTCTGTTATCTATTGATTCACTTATAATGCACTCTCTTAAGTTCTTATTCTGGGACAGACATCTAGATATGTTATGAACTACTTTAATAACTCAACCTGTCATTATGAGCAGTAGGTTAAAAGAATAAGCCTCTTTTATATCTTTGGTGAAGTAAAAACCAGCTTTTCAAATATACTTCGGAGGCAGGCTTTTAAAAAATTATATCAAAAAAATAGTAAGTGTTATTTTGGCCAGTCAATCTTCATTGATTTAGATCTTTATAAATATTTTAGAGGCCCAACTCCAAAGGACTAAGAGCTGATAGGATTGGAACTGTATTTTTTTTCTTGTTCCTTTATTAGTATAAAACTGATAAGACTGACATGGGTATTTTCTCTCATTCATAAGACGGGCTATCTATTGTGGGTCCAATATCCAGGCACAACTACATATACTCGGAGGCTGTTGCTCTTCCCATTAAAAGTGACTGTCTGCCTGTAATCCCAGCTACTTGGGAGACTGAGGCATGAGAATCACTTGAACCCCTCTGTTTCCTTTTTTTGTTTTGATTAAAAAATTCACGGCCGGGCGCGGTGGCTCAAGCCTGTAATCCCAGCACTTTGGGAGGCCGAGGCGGGTGGATCACGAGGTCAAGAGATCGAGACCATCCTGGTCAACATGGTGAAACCCTGTCTCTACTAAAAATACAAAAAATTAGCTGGGCATGGTGGCGTGTGCCTGTAATCCCAGCTACTCGGGAGGCTGAGGCAGGAGAATTGCTTGAACCCAGGAGGCGGAGGTTGCGGTGAACCAAGATTGCGCCATTGCACTCCAGCCTGGGTAACAAGAGTGAAACTCTGTCTCAAAAAAAAAAAAAAAAAAAAAATTCACATTCCAGGTAGGGCTGCGTTTCTTGGAAAATAAGGAAAACTTAGAAATAAAGAAAATAAGGGAATATGTATCAGTTCAATTTTGTTTTGTAGCAAAGTACCCAAAAACTTAGTGACATAACATTATTGACCCAATTTGGTCAGTGGGGGCAATTAAGGCTGAACTTAGCTGAGGCAGCTTATCTCTATTCTAGTGTGTGTCATCTGGGTACACTTGTTAGTGGTCAGTGGGTAGTGGTGTCATTCATGTATTTATAGAGGCTATGGTGGTAAATGGGGCAACTGAGACATGTGGTATGGGCTACAGTGGTTCCTAGAGCAGTGACAGAGAATAAGCTCCAATGAACAAGCACTTTTCAAGCCTCTTGTTTGCTGTCTTGTTTGCTGGTGTTACATTAGTTGAAGCAAGGCACATGGCCAAGCCGAGATTCCACAGGTAAAGAAAGACTGTACCTCTTGATTGGCAGAGTTATGCATGCAGAGATAGGAAGAATTTGTGGCCATTTTTGTAATCCACATAGAATGAGTTCAATTGATATCCTATGCTCTATCAGACTTTATGCTGGGTGATTTACATGTTATTCATTGAGTCCTCACGACAGTTTCCTGACATGCCTGGCATTACTCCCATTGCAAAGATGATAAAATTGATGATCAGATAACTTAAGAGACCTGCATATATGAAGCCCAAATTGTTTGTTTCAAGTTATGGAATGGCCTTTTAGGTGCTATCTCTTCTTAAGCAACATGATCAGATGCTTACATGAGACAGAAGATGTATGCTTTATTTGGTTAAAATGGAATTCTAAAGGCTAGCTTTACTTTCTCCCTTACATGTTGAGCAATATATTTATAGGTCATATATTTATTTGGTATAGAAAAAATATTAACATTTCACTATGTGTGAGACAGAAGCTCATGAAAATGTGGTTTTTGTTTGCTTTCCAGGTCAGCTACACGACCTGGGTCTCACCACAGTTTGGACATGACTGAGGCTCTCCAGTGGTTCAGATATCACTGGCGACGGCTGATCGGAGGTGCAACCAGGGATGATGATTCGAGGCCATACAACTATTCCTCCTTGCTTGCCTGTGGGGGCAAGTCCTCTCAGACCCCTAAACTGGCAGGAAAGCACCGGATTGTTGTTCCCCACCTCCAGGCCTTCAAGGATGAGTATGAGAAGTTCTCTGGAGCCTATGTGAACAATCGAATACGAACAACAAAGTACACACTTCTGAATTTTGTGCCAAGAAATTTATTTGAACAATTTCACAGGTACTGTTTTATTTTGGAAAACAACCTTAGACTATCATTGTAGTTGGTATATAAGTTTTTTTTCCCATTGTCGTAACCCTGTATGTTGCTTAAACCTAAGACTTGTGACATCACCCTTGACAATTTTGGTACAAATCTGTTGTGGAATGATGACTCCTTTCATTCACGTAACACTTTTCAATTGGTAAGGTGTTTTCTCTTTACCAGAAAAGATATTGTAATTCACAATATTATAGATTAGGAAATGAATTGACTGTGGTTTAGCCAATGTCATGTCAGTGTCAAGTAGCAGACCAGGGGCTGCCTCCAGGGGTCTTCTTACTCTTGCTTTAGTGTTCTTTCCATGAGACCATGCTGCATTTTAATTTCAGATTTTTCTTACTTGATAATATGAAGAAATAGAGCTCTGAAGCCAATGCAGATGTCAGATGTTATTATATGAAACAGTGACCTTATTCAGCTTAATATCACATTCATGGACATTCTCCCATGAGTTTAGGCACTGCAGGAAATGTACATGTAAGTGCCACTCCTCTCTTTGTGGAGTTTGCAGTTGTGCTAGGGAAACACAATAGTATATAAAAAACAAAAAGACATAATGAATGCAATGAGTGTTATAAAGGGCTGTCAAGTAGAATGAAAGCCTCAAAAAGAGAAATAATAATACTAACTGGAGCAATAGAAGGGGAAGTGACATTTGACTTAATAATGGAAGGTGGGTGAGATAGTCAAGGCAGAGGTGTGGGCAAAGCCTATTTCAGATGGAGGAAGGAGTATGAATAACAGCATAAAGGAAGTAGCATGGAAGGCTTGCTTGAAGCCTGGGAAGTAGTCTTCTCTGACTTACATGTATCATCTATGCTTGGGAACAACAGGAAGTTAAGTCAGAAAGATAGATATGACCCAGAAGAAAGGTCTTCCTATCAGGATAAAGAGTTGAAAGCCAAGTCTGCAGGTACAATTAACGTGCTTACATCCATATTTCACTACAGAGGCAGTGTAGTGGATAGATGAAAGGGTTTAGAGGTGATGGCAGAGAAAACGTTTAGAAAGACGTCGTATACATCCCAGTGAATTATGGACACCTGACCTTGGAACAATGTGGTAATGAAAAGAAGGGTGACCACTTACAGATACTATGGATTTAATATAATGTATTCAGTGAAAGGAGGAGTAAAAAGATTATGTGAACATGTTGAGCTGTGATGACCAGAGTGATTAACAGAAAAATGAAAAACAAGAGTAAAAAGAACCTTGGCTGGAAGAGTATTTTGGTTTTGTAAATGTGTTTAAGACACCAATGCAAGTAAAGAGTTTCTCCATATTCTTTAGTCATTCTATGTACATTCATTCTCAATATTCATTCTATATATGTTTCATATGCATTTATTAAACAGTGGCTATGTTTAGAGGACAGATACGAATTTGTTGAATTAATGGCTATGTTGCACGATGTATGTTTCATTCTTTTATGGAGTTTGCAATCTAGTGTACCCAATGGAATAAAACTCTGAAACTTAAACAGAGTTCACGGTTAGAGCTATAGGTTTAGATGTGGTCCACATGGAAAGAGTTGAAGCCATAGTAGTAGAATTGGTTAGGAAATAAATTTTCAGAGTAGTAGGATTTGGATGGTCAATGGAAAACTGTGATAAAAATTCAAGGGCAGGATTGAGATTTTTTTTCCTTTAAGGAAAAGAATGTCTTGAACTTGCCATATGTCCAAAAATTAGGAGCCCTAGAGAAATATTTGAATATATAAAATAGAAGAATGGAAGAATTTCCTAAGAAAGTGGTTCTGAATAGCGTAAAAGAAGAAATAGAAGAGTTGGTCACCAGGAGAAAGAAAAATAGGCTTTTCTACTTAATTTTGAGATTCATTTAAGTCTAATGTTTGGATGTACAAAAGGCTAGAGTGTTGATCATAGTTTTGTTAATTAATTTTCATACCACATTAACTGAATTTCTTCTAAATTTTTCTGAACTTTTAAAAGAAAATAGTATTTTCTATTGTGCTTTTTGTCACGTAACAGTTCAAGACTGTCCCACTCAAATATTTACTATTGTATATTTAATAAATTATTTATTTATTTATTTATTTATCTACCCAGGCTGGAGTGCAGTGGTGTGATCTTGGCCCATTGCAACCTCTGCCTTCTCGGTTCAAGTGATTCTTATGCCTCAACCTCCCGAGTAGCTGGGTGCACAGGCGTGAATCACTACACCCAGCTAATCTTTGTATTTTTAGTAGAGATGGGGTTTCACCGAGTTGGCCAGGGGTGTCTTGAACTCCTGACATCGAGTGATCTGTCTACCTTGGCCTCCCAAAGTGCTAAGATTACAGCGATGAGCCACCATACCCAGCTCTGCTGTCTCATATTTATTAAAGTATGACACAAGCCAGATGTCTAGCAGGGTAATGCATAGTTCATTGAGATTTGTTATATTTTGCTAGTTCTATATTCTGCAACATAAAACATCAACCTATAGAAACTTATTGAAAACCAATATAGTACTTTGCCTCTTACTCAGTCCTTGAAATAACTTCTTAACACCTCCTTTTGTGTGTTTGGGTTGCAGAGCTGCCAATTTATATTTCCTGTTCCTAGTTGTTCTGAACTGGGTACCTTTGGTAGAAGCCTTCCAAAAGGAAATCACCATGTTGCCTCTGGTGGTGGTCCTTACAATTATCGCAATTAAGGATGGCCTGGAAGATTATCGGAAATACAAAATTGACAAACAGATCAATAATTTAATAACTAAAGTTTATAGTAGGTAAGTGTAATGGGAGCTTTGCTAAGGACTGTGTGTGTATCATTGAGAAAAATATGCAGAATGTTACTTTTTTCTCCTTAGGTGTGACCAGATCCTTTTGTGTTGTTGTAATTGTTTAACGAATATTTCATAAAGTCCTATGGTGAATTTAATTCAAGTGTCAGAGGAAAACAAAAATGTATAAGCCATTGTCAACTCAGGAGCTGACAAAGCAAAAGCTTCTATAACTCATGCATAAGTGGAATTAAAAGAATTAAACTTCAGAGGCAGGCGCGGTGACTCACACCTATAATCTCAACACTTTGGGAGGTCGAGGTGGGTGGATCACCTGGTCAGGAGTTCGAGACCAGCCTGACCAACATGGTGAAACCCCATTTCTACTAAAAATACAAAAATTATCTGGATGTGTTGGCTGGCACCTGTAACCCCAGCTACTCAGGAGGTTGAGGCAGGAGAATCCCTAGAACCCAGAAGGTAGATGTTGCCATGAGCTGAGATCACTCCGTTGCACACCAGTCTGGGGGCAGAGCAAGACTGTCTCAAAAAACAAAAAAAAAAAGAATTTACTTTAAACCATAAGAAGAAAAGCAAGCACATAGTTTTTAACCATTGATGTTATAATTTAGGATTAAGAAGAGGATGGGATATGGAAATTAAGAACGAAGGTAAATTGCTCTGAAAAACAAGATGGGATGTATAAAAAAAGATGGGAGCCAACTACCTACAGAGGAAGAGGATTGTGAAAAATGTAGGTGAAGCCTGTAATCCCAGCACTTTGGGAAGCCAAGGTGGGAAGATCCCTTAAGGTCAGGAGTTTGAGACCAGCTTGGCCAACATAGTGAAACCCTGTCTTTACTAAAAAATACAAAAATTATCTGGACATGGTGGCAGGTGCCTGTAATCCCAGCTACTTGGGAGCCTGAGGCAGAAGAATTGCTTGAATCCGGGAAGTGGAGGTTGCAGTGAGCAGAGATCGCATCACTGCACTCCAGCCTGGGTGACAGAGTGAGACTCCATCTCAAAAAAAAAAAATGGAGGAGAATATTCTTTTTTTGTGTGCACAAAACTAGATGCATCCCATCACAGCAACGACAGAGAGCATTCGTAGGAGGAGGTCTTTTTAGGGGCATATTTGCTGTGTTACAGACTTGTATTTTCAGTATTGATAAAATAGACAGTCTATGTAGCCAAGAATAAACTCAGTTTATGTGAGTTTTAAACTGTGGTGTATATTATTTGCAGCTCCCGGGTTTTTATTCTTAGGTGTAAGTTTATACTTAGTAAACAGTATAGACAAATATAACTTGCCTTCAATCTTCTGTGATCCAAAGAGGAAAATGTTAGGAAAGACTTCTCTGAAGAGATGATATTTCATCTGAAAGCTGCAGAATTCAAATTTTGTTCATTATTAGAATTCTTCAGTGACTTTCACAATGTTTGTTTTAATGATCTATCAAGAAAATAAGGAATAGAACTTTGTTTATTGTTTGTAAGGTGATTTGAGATTTCTTGGAAAATGAGAAATTTGTTCTATTTTTTTCTGTTCTACTCATGTCCCATCTAAAGGGAACCAGAAAAACGTATGTGTTGTATTTTAAAATGAAAGAATGGTATAAGTCCATGGTCTTCATTTAAAGTCATAGAGCATTTTGCTAAAACAGTTCTATTAATAATTTAGAAACATTTGAATGCTTATTATATACCAAGGATAGAGGACTAAAATGTCTGTATAGTCACTGATCTCAAAAAATAGCTCTAAGAAACATTATTTTACAATGATTATATGATGAACAAAGTCTAGAATTTGACCAATTTTAAGATTAACCAGTGAATGCCAAATTTAGTGAATAGAAAGAATGCTTATTATATATATTTTTGAATACAAACTCAAATATATAAATAATTGCAGGCCAGGTGCAATGGCTCACATCTGTAATCCCAGCACTTTGGGAGCCTGAGGTGGGTGAATTGAGTGAGTTCAGGAGTTTGAGATTAGCCTGGGCAACATGACTAAACCCTGTCTCTAAAAAAAACAACAACCAATTAGTCAGGCATGGTGGTGTGTGCCTACAGTCCCAGATACTTGGGAGGATGAGGTGGGAGGATCACCTGAGCCTGTGAGGCAGAGGTTGCAGTGAGTTAAGATTGTGCCACTACACTTCAACCTGGGCAACAGAGCAAGACCCTGTCTCAGATAAATAAAATAATTGCAGATTTTTAATTGCTAATTTGGAGTTGGCAGTGTATGTTTGTTTGCTTTTCTGGATTGTTCTAAAATGTTTAATCTGATTCTCCCGCTTAGCTGTGTAACCTTGGGCAACTTACAAAAAGCAGCTAAACACCCAGTTTCCTTCATTTGTGAGTGTAATAATAAAACGTACTTCATAGCACCTAGTCTTTTCCAAGTGCTAAGTAAAAGCCATTATGATTATCATTATAGGTCAATAATGACTATTTGCTAGAGTTTATGTTTGTCACATCAAGTCATTTAATCAACATCTGAGAACTCCTCAAAACACTGCACAATTTTTAAAATATTAAAATTACCTGATAGAAGACCTGGTATAACTTTTTTCTCAAGTGTCCTTTTAGATATAATCCAGATCTATTTTAGATGATTTTCATATAAACTTAAAAATGAGATGTAGTATTATAGTCATTTATTTAATATCCATTCTAAGATGTTCCTTTATGTCTGTGTTTCATAAGAGGCTCAGGTCATTTTATGCATTTTTATCTATATATAATATAATTTGGTTTTGTTTGGTATTGTAGAAGAAATAATGCTTATGTTTTCCTCCCAGATTATTTCTGGCACAGTTATTACAAGATTATAAAGAAATAAAGATGGGATATAAAACCATGCCTTGTTGATTTAAATATGCTAATGTAAATTCCTATGAAATACAAAGAAATCAACTTAGAAACAAATTATTTCTACAGAAAGTTAGGGTGAAATTATGGGAGCTATTTAGCAAGTTTTTGGAAGAAGCATATTAACATTTATAAGCAGAAAATTTTGTTCTTACTTGTAATATGTGGTCTTTCACAAGGTGCTTAATTTTCTATAGAAAAGTATCATTTGGAATAACAAACACTAGTCTAGAAATTAATCATTTAAACTCTATTATACCTCCAATTAAGTTAGAATGAACTATTATAGCAAACCTAACTTTCTTAAGATTGCCTTTAAAGTAGGCGCCACTTGTAAGGTTTTAAAATTTGTTTTAAGGTAATAAAAGTGTCTTGAAAATAGGCTATTAATCACTCAGAGAATCTGAGTGCCTGCTGTGCCATAAGCACTGAGATACTTAGAGGATTTAAACTTCAATTAGGTACAATGTCTGTCTTCAAGGAATGTGCATTATTTTCTGACCTTTAAAAATCACCATGTTATTGATGTTGCAAGTTTCAAAATATTAGCTAATGTTAACATTTTAGGATTATCTCACAAATCCATAGAATTTCATGATTTGTGAAATGAGACCTTCAGTAGCCATTTAAATTAACCTTATATAAGACATTATACAAAACAAACATTTTAAAGTAAATTCTTTACATTTATTTTAAAATACACAGGTAAACCACATTTTATTTGATGGTCAGTAGAAGTGACTGCACTTGGCAGTAAAGTCTAGTATTTAAGAGAGTAGATTCTGGATATACCTGCCTTGTTTCAAATTACAGGACCACTTAGCCATGTAACACTGAGCAAGTTACTTAACTTGTCAAGGGCAGTTTTTTTTTCTAATTTTTAAAACTGGTTGTAAAACCAACCACAACATTGATTCAAAAATTAAATGAGTTGATATATATAAAGCATCTAATAAATCTTAGCTGATGTTGTGTCCAATGATAATTCATTTTTTGCTTATTATAAATAATTTAATGTTTTATTGGAAACACACTAAAAATATCAAAAAGAATAATTAATTCATAATTCTCTCTTTAAATAATCCCTTTCTCTCTTTAAATATCAAGTGAAGTAGGCGTCCACATTCCCAACCTTTCATTCTTACCCCTCCGTCTCCTTCCTTACCAGCTCCCATCCTAGTTGAATCTCTGTTGATCATTCAGTGCATATTATTCCTAACTTTTCCTAATGCTTATGTAGTAGAGCTGTTTGATACTGGACTTATGAAGAATCAAAATCGGCCTAAAAGTTTTTCTGAAGGAGGGATTGTGGGTACTGTGTCCTGATCAGTGAGAGTCATACACAAGCACAAACCACCAAGGAGATGCAAGAAATTCTAGTTGGACCTTTGGACCTTTAGACTCTGGGGCAAGAAGAAAGTTCTCTTACTAGTTTTGATTATGTATCAGGAAAGGAAATGTAGCCTTATTTTTGCATCTCCCAACAATGCTCACAACCACATTTAACTAGTCTGGAACATTTACAATGTTGGAAGATGCTAGCTGATTCGCAGAGATTATATTTTCTTCTTCACTCTTCCAATCAACAATTTCACATTATCGACTTTCTCCAAGGCCACCGACCTAACAGCCAAATACTGTAGGCATTTCGGTTTTTACTATACAGGACTGCTCTGTAGCTTTCAGCCGTTGTGGCTCCCTCTTAGAAATTTGCTTCTTCCTTGATTTCTGTGACACCACTTATCTGAGATCCTCTTTCACCTGACTATCACCTTGAAGATTCTTTCCCTAAGAAATATCCTTACCTGCAATCAGTGGCTGTCTGTGTACCTGGGACTTCCAAATCTATATCTTTACTCATAATCTCCAGATCATGACCCCTCAAACTGCTGGGCATCTTCAGCTTCATGTCCTACTCCAAATGAAACCTTTTCAACCTGAAGTTGTCTCACCTGTGATACAACCAATTGCTTCTAAAATCTGAGACCTATTACAGCACCATCCATCACCACATCGAACACGTTAGGGACCATAGTGTCATCCTGGATAATTCTTTTATGTGTAATAAGTCCAAAAACTTGTTTCTGTTATCTAGTATGTCTTGATTTCATCTTTTATCTTTCTGTGTTGCTACTGCCTTAATTCTGATGATCTTCATCCCTCCCATGGATTATTTCAGTAACTTACCACTTGTCTCTTGGCCATACTCCTAAATAACCTGCCATCCAAAAATCCATTCATTACTTTGTCTCAGGAGCTGGCAAACAGAAGTAGGGTCACATTCTTCTTTTTCTGAACCTTTACTTACTTTCCATTTTTTTATGGAATGAAATTCCTAGATATGGCATGGAGGACTGAACTGTCAGAATAATACCCCTGCCTACCTTTTTTATCTTTTTCTCTGTTACCTCCCTCTATAGGAGAACAAACTGATAGGCACAGACACTAGGGAAAAGTTTGGTAAAGACAAAATAAACTGTTGATTTGCCTTTCTCCGTGGACCAATAAACTCTTTAGATAATCAAATATTTCCTTTAGTTGGTTTTAACCTTGTTCATTTCGTATGTTCTGAAAATGTACTTCTTAGGTAGCCTTTTAAGCTAAATATTTCTTATTTAAATATTTTCAACCTAAATTATTATTTAAATATTTTCAACTATTTTCAATTTAAATATTTCTTATTTAGCTTAAAAGGCTACCTAAGAAGTACGTAGCCTTTTAGCTAAATACCTGATATAATTCTATATGGCAAATACCTGATATAATTCTGTATGGCAAAAGTTGTAAAAGTATTGGTGTAAGGTGCCATTTCTATTTAATCCGATGAAATAAAATAAGTGGATTTATGATATTTGCCACAAATGTTAGTTTTTTATGTATATTTGGGAGACAGTGAAGGAATGAGACGAGCTTCTTAACTTTTGTTGGTGGCATCATATGTGAAATGCTACCTAACAAGCTCAAATGACACATGACATTCTACCATACAAATGTCCTCATTCTACCCTGAGGAAAATGCATTGTGACACACAATGATAACCCATCTTATCTGCCTGATGGGAAATGCTGAGAGCAGATCATGTGTCTTAGGCACCTTCAGGTCCTTTGTACCTGACCACAGAGCAGCATGAGGGAATTGCTCTGTATCTGAATGAGCCCATCAAATGTTGATTGTAATTTTATTCCAGAATTAGACTCAAACAGCATAATGGTTCAAAATCCCACAGGAAGAAAGAACTGAAAAATATGTTTTAGTGGCTCAGTAACTAAATTTTCAGATGAAGCATTTGTAGAATTTAGGGGTTGCCAATTCTGTGGTTTCCCTTTTAGCATTTTGTTTGTTTGTTTTTGTTTGTTTGAGACAGAATCTTGCTCTGTCACCCAGGCTAGAGTGCAGTGAAGTGATCTAGGCTCATTGCAGCCCCTGCCTCCTGGGTTCAAGTGATTCTCCTGTCTCAGTCTCCTGAGTAGCTGGGATTGTAGGTGCATGCCACCATGCCTGGCTAATTTTTGTATTGGTAGTAGAGATGGAGTTTCACCATGTTGGCCAAGCTAGTCTTAAACTCCTGACCTCAGGTGATCCACCCACCTTGGCCTCCCAAAATGCCGGAATTATAGGCATGAGCTACTGTGCCTTGCCCCTTTTAGCATTTAATAGACTAAAATTTACCCTAATACTTAATATATACTTTATATACTAAAAAAAACTTCCTTAAAAAAACATTGTATGTCTATTTTGCTTGATATTCTTTTTTTAAACTTTTTTTTAATTATAGGAAAGAGAAAAAATACATTGACCGATGTTGGAAAGACGTTACTGTTGGGGACTTCATTCGCCTCTCCTGTAACGAGGTCATCCCTGCAGACATGATACTACTCTTTTCCACTGATCCAGATGGAATCTGTCACATTGAGACTTCTGGTCTTGATGGAGAGAGCAATTTAAAACAGAGGCAGGTGGTTCGGGGATATGCAGAACAGGTAAGTCATGTGTTCTCAGTTGTGGCTTATTCACATTTTTTTTCTGAAGATGACTGAGCTCATTTTCACATTACAGATAAAGAGATTTTTAATTCGTTTTCACCATGATGAAATAGAATCCCAAAAGGTATAATTCATTTCCAGATATGAGTGGAAGCGTACTCTTTTCTAGATAAGAGGATAAAATGACTTCAAAGTTCACACACTTTGGTGGGGCACTCATGTTTTTGAGAATGGAATTAAAGGAACCAGACAGAATTATTTGCAACTTGGAAAAAAACACTTGCTAATTTATTTTTCTTAAACCTACACTTTATATCTTATTTTTGGTTGATCATTGTTTCTAAAATCTGTAATTACGTATATACCAAAGCTTAAGAGTTTTGTAGCTTCTCATGCTACATAGCTTTTAGACCTTTCTTAATATTGTGCAGAGAGAAACAGAAACCTTGAAGTTACATTGACATAGATTTAAATGAATCACAGCTCTGCTATTAATTACTGTGTGACTTCGGACAAGTCATTTAAACACTTTATGCCTCAGTTCTTTTAATCTTAAAATGAAAATGATGGTACCTACTCTATAGCATTGTTGCAGGATTTAAATGAAATAATATATATTGAAACATCATATGTAGTATCTAAATATCATTTTCCTTCCCCTTTCTCTGAAAGCACTTGAGATAAAGTAATTTACAATTTAATGATCTTTATCTTTCTTTTTAACCCAAAATACTATTAAGTTAGGGTTTCTTCATCTTACAATTATAAACCAAAAAAAAAAGTGTTTTAGCCTACTAATACCTTTATCTTTTGGTAAATTTCATCTTGTCATATTGGGCCCACCTCTCTACCTATGGACTTCATTTAGATCCTCTGTGATTATTATGCCTATTAGACTACTGTCATTGTCACTTTTGTAAGTAGTCTTGTACCAAAGGCATTGGTAAAAATTCTGCACAACTTAACATTCTGTGGTACAGTACATACCCACTTTGAGTATTAATCAGCAATTCATAGTTACCATTAAAAGTAATGGCAAAAGCACAATTACTTTTACACCAACCTAGTATTCATCAGCACACTGTGGGTTCAATTAAGGGTGAATCTGATGACCTAGATTTTAATCCTGCTCTAAACACTTTCTTGTTTTGAGAACTTTGGCACATTACTGATTCTCTTTGTGTCTCTCTTTCCTCATCTGTTAATTAGGTCTAATTACTGTACTACCTCCCTCATGGAGTTGTGAAGAAGAAACTAGCTAATACATTTAAAGTGTATAATAGATTTTAGTGTGTCGAAAGAACGCTATAGATATTACTCATTAGAAAATAAATCATATTATCATATATTTATATTTTTTATATTTCCTATTATATGCATACTAATTCTAATATTTATTAATATCAATAGCATTTATCTTACTGGTCAAAATGGATATGAAAAGTAATGAAATAAGGTTGATGTGGCTTGTTTTAGGGAAATCCATACCTTAAAGGAGTTGTGTCCTATAAAGGCACTTTGCTTATTTGTTCATTCTTTTCATAAAGAATTCTGAAATTGTCTAATCCATTAGAAAATTTTATAGACATTGATGTTTATTTTTAAATTGTTATTTATAAAATTTGGCTGAAATCAAATGCATATGTGCTCAAAGTGTTCACATATACATTTAATCTCAAAATTACTTATGTGATTAAAGGCCAACAACAAAAGTATGTTCAGTTTTTCAGTGCTTTATTGATAAAAAGATGTTTATAAGTAGAAACTCTCTTCTGGAGAGTCCTGCATGAATTTCAGTAAATGACTCAGACATTCCCATCAGCTGCAGATGTTTATTAGTGCTCTAGGACCATTCTGATCCCAATTATGGATCACATAATTATGCCTCTACTTTCCTTCCTTTGGGAAATTCATGATATAAACTTCATTGCAAAAAAGGCTTAGCATTATTTTAAGAACTGGTGAAGTGATAAAACACTTCGATATTAAGGGATTAATCTTGAATTCTTATTTTGTGATTCAAAAAATATTTTTAGGACTCTGAAGTTGATCCTGAGAAGTTTTCCAGTAGGATAGAATGTGAAAGCCCAAACAATGACCTCAGCAGATTCCGAGGCTTCCTGTGAGTAATACATGACATACCTTTGTAGGTGTGAGTGGAATTGTGTGTTGCAATTGTACTTAACTCGATAAAGTGTTTCTGTACTTATAACCTTGTTAAATCACTAAAGGTTGTAACTTTAACCACCTATGAAAAAAATTGGCTTATTTTAATTATTTAATAAGCATCTACACACACACACACACACTATTCACTCTGGAGGCATCTTATGGCATCCAGATCTCCTTTGCAAGGGCAGCTAGAATTTGAAGTCCTTACCTAAATTCAGGCATCAGCCAATAAATGCTCTACGGCCTTGAGCCAAATTATCTGCCTGCTTTTATCCTCAGCCTCCTGATTTTTAAGAGAAGACGATTAGACCTACTTCACAGTGTGAGAAAAGCAAAGTTTCCAAATATATTTTGAAATGAGAATTATTCTGATACTATTACCTTGATACCAAAAGCATATAAAGACATTTAATGGAAGACAAATATCCCACATGAGCACAGATGCAAAAATTCCACACAAAATTACAGCAAATCAAATCCAACAATGTATGAAAATGATAATACATCATGACCCAGTTTGGGGGATTTATCTGCCCAAACCTCAGGATTGGTTCAACATTAGAAAATAATACAATGTAATTCACCATACTAGGACTATATTAACAAACCATATTAAACAAATCAAAAAGGAAAAACCAGGTGGTCATCTCATAGGTGTAGAAAAAACATTTTACAAATCTAACTTCCATTCCTGCAAACTCGAAGTAGAAGGGAACTTAATCTGATAAAGGGCATCCATGAAAAACCTAGAGATAGCAGCATATTTAGTCATGAAATAACTTCTCTTCTAAGATCAGGAACAAGACCAGCTTACACTGGAAGATCTGGCTAGTGTAGTCAGGCAAGAAAAGGAAATGAAAGATATCAAGCAAGAAGGAAGTAAAACTACCTTTTATTCACAGATGGTATCATGTTCTTTGTAGAAAATCTGATGAAATCTCCAAAACAACAACAACAAAAAACTGCTAGATATAATGAGTTTAGCAATATTGTAGAAAACGAGATCCAGATAACAAAAATCAATGTATTTCTGTATGCTAACAATGAGCAGATACTGACATTTTTAAAAAATACAATTTATTATAGCATCAGAAAAATGGAATGCTTAAGTATAAATCTGACAAATAATGTGAACTACCTGTACACTAGAAACCACTAAACACCAGTGAAAAAAAATTCAAGAACTAAATAAGTGGATATCAGTTTTCCCCCAGATTTATCTATAGAGCAACTGAAATCCCAATCAAAATCTCAATACGGTCTTTAAGAAATTGACAAGCTTATTTTAAAATTTAAGTGGAGATGCAGAATAACTAAGGCAACTTTGAAAAAAAAAACAGGAAAAAAGCTAGAAGGCCAAAACCACATGATTGTAAGACTTATCAGAAAGGTATAATGATCAAGCCAGTGTCATTTTGGCATAAAGGTAGACCAGCAGATCAGTGGAAGAGAGTATATAATCCAGAAATACACCAACACATTTATAGACAATTGGTTTTTAACAAAGGTGCAAAGACAAATAGATGGAGATTGGTTATCTTTCAACAAACAGTACTGCAACAATGGGGTATTTGTGTTTTCAAACATGAACTTTAATCCATACTGCTCACCATTTACAAAAATTAACTCAAAGTGAATCCTAGACTTAAATGTAAATCTACATGATAAAAACTTTCAGAAAAAACATAGTGGAAATCTTTTTACTTTGTATTATGCAAAGATTTCTTACATACAACACCAAAAGCACAATCCATTAAAGACGAAAATAAATAAAAGAAGTCATCAAAATTTAAAATTTCGCTCCTCAAATGATACTGTTTATGGAATGAAAAGACAAGTCACGACAGGAAGAAAATATTTGAAATCCATGTATTTGATATGGGACTTATATATTCAAAATATGTGAGTCCCATATATATTCAGAATATAGAAAGGCCTATAAAAATTCAGCAATAAAACAAATAATACAACTTTAAAAATGGTGAAAAGACTTTGAACTGATGTATTTGACATTTGAATGCAAATAATTTTGTGAAAAGATGCAGGTTAAACCACAGAGCTTTACCTGCTAAAATTAAAAAGATCAACTGTACCAAGTGTTGGCAAGGATGTAGAGGAACTTGTACACTTAGATGCTATTAGTGGGAATGTAAAATAGTACAACCTCTTTGGAAAACAATTTGGAAATTTTGGAAAAAGCTAAGCATATCCTCATTATATGACATGACCATCCCACTCCTAGACAATTATCCAAGAAAAATAAAAATATGTGTTCATTCTATGACCTGTATACAATGTTCATAGCGGCTTTATTTATAATAGCCAAAAACTGGCAGAAACCTAATGTTTATCAACATGGACAAACAACTCAATAAAGTTGGTTAAAATTCTAAGAAAAGTATTAAGATGGAAGGAAATGTAGAATATAATAGTAGCATATTTTTTATTTTTATGGGTTCAGTGGTACATGTGCAGATTTATTACATGGATATGTTGTGCAATGGTGAGGTTTGGGCTTCTAGTGTGCCCATCTAAATGGTGGATTTTTCCTAATAGGTAATTTTTCAACCCTCATGCCCCTCCCACCCTCCTTTCTTTTGGAGTCCCCAGTGTCTATTATTTCCCTCCATATGTCCACGTATACCCACTCTTTTTTTTTTTAAGGAAAACTATATGCTTTACTGAAGCTTGATTATAAGTGATACAGTTAAGAAATATATTTTGTCTGATTTTCCAAGTAAAAGATCCTTTTAAAACTTTTTAAAGCATTTTTAAAAGCTTCTATGTAAATAATCATGCAATAAATGCTACAGAGAAGCTATAAAAATCTTCAAAAATTGTGAAATAAATCTGATTTTGTGACTTTATCATAGAATATTTTAATAGAATTGTTTTGTTATTTTGAAGTAGCTAAAACCAGACTAGTAATACCCTGGTGTCTTTAGAAAAATCTACTTTAGCAGATAGATATCATTTTTTAAATTATTTTTTATTGCATTTTAGGTTTTGGGGTACATGTGAAGAACGTGGAAGATTGTTGCATAGGTGCACACATGGCTGTGTGATTTGCTGCCTTCCTCCCCATCACCTATATCTGGCATTTCTCCCCATGCTATCTCTCCCCAACTCCCCACCCTCTGTTGTCCCTCCCCTGTTTCCCCCCAACAGACCCCAGTGTGTGATGCTCCCCTCCCCATGTTCATGTTTCTCATTGTTCAACACCCGCCTATGAGTGAGAGCATGCGGTGTTTGATTTTCTGTTCTTGTGTCAGTTTGCTGAGAATTATGGTTTCCAGGTTCATCCATGTCCCTACAAAGGACACGAACACATCGTTTTTGATGGCTGCATAATATTCCATGGTGTGTATATCCATTCTTTAGCTCCCACTTCAGAGTGAGAATATGCCGTATTGATTTTCTGGTTTTGAATCAGTTCACTTCAGACAATGATCTCAAATGCCATCCATGTTGCTGTAAAATACATGATTTCATTTTTTTTTATGGTTGAGTAGTAGTTCATGGTGCTATGTGTGTGTCCGTGTGTGTGTGTGTGTGTGTGTGTGTGTATCAATCACATTATCTTTAATCATCTGTTGATGGACATTTAAGTTGATTTCATGACTTCACTGTTGTGAATAGCATGACAAGAAACACATAAGTGTGAGTGTCTTTTTGATATAAAAATGATAGTTCTATTTTTAGGTCATTGAGAGGTGTTCATACTGTACATACAGGAGTTGTACTAATTTACATACCCACCAACAGTGTATAAGCATTCCTTTTTCTCTGCATCCTTGCCAACATCTGTTATTTTTTGATGTTCTTAATAATAGCCATTCTGACTGGTGTGTGATGGTATCTCATTGTGGTTTGAATTGGCATTTTTCTGATGATTCGTGATACCATTTTTTCATAGGCTTGTTGGCCACTTGTATGTCTTGTTTTGAGAAACGTCTGTTCATGTCCTTTGTCTACTTTTTAATGGGGGTATTTGGTTCTTTTGTAGTTGTTGCTTTGTTTGAGTTCCTTATAGATTCTGGATATTAGTTGTTTGTTAGATGCATAGTTTGCAAATATTTTTTCCCATTCTGTCGGTTGTGTGTTTACTCTGTTGATTGTTTCTTTTGCTCTGTAGAAGCTGTTTATTTTAATTAAATCTGATTTGTCTATTTTGGTTTTGTTGCATTTGCTTTTGAAGTCTTAGTCATAAATTATTTGCTTAGGCCAATGTCCAGAAGAGTTTTTTCTGGGTTTTCATCTAAGATTTTCATAGTTTGAAGTCTTACATTTGAGTCTTTAATCCATTTTGAGATTTTTTTTGTAGATGATGAGCGGTAGGGATTCAGTTTAAATTTTTTCAGCGCCATTTATTGAATAGGGTGTCCTTTCTCCATTGCTTATTTTTGTCAATTTTGTCAAAGATCAGTTGGTTGTAGGTATGTGGCTTCAATTCTGGGTTGTCTATTCTTTTCCACTGATATATGTGTCTATGTTTTTGTAGCAGTACCATGCTGTTTTGGTCACTATAGCCTTGTAGTATAGTTCAAAGTCAGGTCATGAGGTGCCTCCAGCTTTTTTCTTTTTGTTCAGGATTGTTTCAGCTATTTGGACTTTTTTTTGTTCCATATGATTGTAGAATTGTTTCTTCTAATTCTGTGAAAAACGATGTTGATATTTTATACGAATTGCATTGAATCTGTATATTTCTTTGGGCAGTATGGACATTTTAACAATATTGATTCTTCCAATCCATAAGCATGGGATGTTTTTCCATTTATTTGTGTCATCTATAATTTCTATAATCAGTGTTTTGTAGTTCTTCTTGTAGAGATCTTTCACCTCCTTGGTTAAATGTATTTCTAAGTATTTCATTTTGTGTGTATGTAGCTGCTAGAAATGAGATTGAGTTCTTGAATTGGTTGTCAGCTTGAACATTGTTAGTGTATAGAA